GCGCTCGCCGGCCCGCGCGCTTTGTCTCCGCTGGGCTTTGTCCCTCGCCCTCCGCCATTTTGAGCGCGGGGACCCGGGCGGGGAAAAGGGGTCCCCTGCCGCCTCGGGACCGTGCAACCCGACTTCCCCGTGGTTTCCTCGAGCCGTGCACACGTCTCCCCACTCGAAGGCCTGGAGAGCTAGGAGGAAGGTTCGTGGGGGGCTAGACAACGCCACGCGAGCTGCTTCGCTGCCACCTGAAACTTTCAAACGGCCGAGCGAACGTGTCCTCACCACGCGATTGCCACGAAGTAGACGCCCGACAGGAGACTCCCAACCAAACCCGGGGCTGCAGGCTAAAGCTGGCTCCTGGTAGCTTTAATTGCGCGCGGAGCATAGCAAAAGGGGCTCGTTTTCAGGGAACGTGTGGGGCCCGAGGCGGGCCTTTGGTGGAGGAAAAGATTACGCTGCTGGAAATGGGCGCCTTAGCCCCGGACCCGTGGGAGCCGCCCTGGAGCCCGAGCGCGCGGACGGCGTCCCCCGCGGGGAGCTGGGGGCGGGAGGAGGCCCCGCGCCGCGGAGGGAGCAGCGCCTCCAGGTGCAGAGGAAGTGCCCCCGAGGTCGAGCACTGACCCCGTAGGGTCGTCATGGGCTTTAGACTGCTGGGCCTCGGGCTGAGCGAGGGGAGCGGCCGGGGAAGGGCGTAGGGCGGTTTCCTTCCACTTACACCTGAGCCCGTCGTGTGCGAGGGTAACAGGCCGGCTCCGAGCCTGCGGGGAAGGTGGGGCGGGGGGCCAGTCCCGAGGGACCGACCCTCCCCTGCCTGCCACCGCCCAAGGCCGAGCACACAAGCACTTCCACCGGGAATTCCTACTTTAGGCGACCCCAGCTCTTGTGGGCAGGGAGTTGAACCCTCGCCAGGCCCAAAGAACGAGCTCGTTCCAGGCGCCCCACTAGATCCTGCCCCTCGCCTGTCAGCACCTTTGACAGAAACAAGGGGACGCAACGTACCTGCCAGTCAAGTACCAGGAGCTCCAGAGAACTGTCCTCCACGAGCGGGGAGGGGCGGGGGGCGGAGGACGCCCGGGCTGCCCACTCCTGCCCCACCTCCCCCCACTCGAGAGCGAAAGCAGGACAAGCAGCGCACAGCTCTCCTCAAAGGTTGGACGGCCCTGAAAAGGGCCTTTGGTTTTGCTGTTGAGACGAGTGGGTGGGTCCAGGCTCAGCCGCCGAAGCCGTAGAGGGTGCGGCCCTGGCGCTTGAGCGCGTAGACCACGTCCATGGCCGTGACCGTCTTGCGCTTGGCGTGCTCCGTGTAGGTGACGGCGTCGCGGATCACGTTCTCCAGGAACACCTTGAGCACCCCGCGGGTCTCCTCGTAGATGAGCCCGGAGATGCGCTTGACGCCGCCGCGCCGCGCCAGGCGCCGGATGGCGGGCTTGGTGATGCCCTGGATGTTGTCGCGCAGCACCTTGCGGTGGCGCTTGGCGCCGCCCTTCCCGAGGCCCTTCCCGCCTTTGCCGCGACCAGACATGGTAACAGCACTCAGGCAGATGCCGAACGAGTTGCCGGTGGAAGGCAGCCCCTTTATATACGCGGAGTGCGGACCTGATTGAAAACAGGAGGCGCTAGCAACTTCCGCGGTCGGTAGACCCCACCGGATGACGTCACCGCGAATGGAGTTCCGCTTCCCCTCCCCCTCCGGCGGTAGGTTGTGGGTCCCCGGATGAGGATTCCGGGAACTTTTAAACAACTGTTTAAAACTAAAGGAACTCTTGTCCGTGTAGAAACGTGGGAACCTGTGGAGAATTTTATAAGTTTATTAGAGCCAGACTGACGGCATGCGAGGGAGCAAGATCTCGAATGCTCTGGAGAAGGAAAGTTTTGTAGCGTCTTTTATGCATTTGCAACGAGGGGGATTCACAAAGGCGGGAAGAACAAGGCTCAGGAGCGTTAACCTGGCCAGGTGCTCGCTGGAGGCCTCACGCTCTGCGGGCGGAACAAGAGGAGTACTTCTGGCGTTTCAAGGGTGTGTTAACCTAGACGCACAGGGACAAAGGACAGGGCTCGCTTAAGGCGGAGATAACCTTTTACTAAAGAATTATAGGACTGTGGCTTGACCCCCCACCATGACCTGCCCAGTTAGGGATTTGGGGTCAGATCTCCCTATGCGGTCACTTTTGTTCACTAATTTACTCCAGAGCCCCCTTTTCACACGTTTCTCCCTGGTCTGAGGCAGTCTCACCTTAGTGGGAACGCGGGCCCCTCGGCCCAAAGTTTTCGGCGCGCAGGGCACTCCTGTTCCGGCGGCAAAGCCTTTCCAGCCAAAGCCCAGTCCCCCAGGAGTCTAAAACCTCAGAGCCCCGCCCGCTTCACACCAGGCAGGGAAGTCCGACCAAAGGGGTGTTTTTCCCGAAGGCGAACCCGCGGTGGAACCTGCCTGCACGGAGGCCCGGGTCCCTTCCCGGCGTGTTTTTTTTTTTCTTCCCTGTGTATTAAAACCTGTAATTCACATTTTGATATCTAGCCACCCTCATCTCTGCGCCCAGAAATTTATGTGTGTTAATGTTTACCTCTCTGCTCCTAGTTTTGTCTTCTCTTTGATTCTGGTAGCGACATTAGTCCAAACAGAATTGGCAAGTTGTGGTAGAAAAGGTATTGAAATAAATGGGCACTCTCCTGCGAGCTATTTTTAGTAGACTGTAAATCGCTTCTGTACAGCATTAAGGATATGATTAGAAAACCGGCGCGACGAGGAGCAGAGTGGCGCAGCGGAAGCGTGCTGGGCCCATAACCCAGAGGTCGATGGATCGAAACCATCCTCTGCTAGCTTTTTTTTTTTTTTTTTTTTTTTTTTTTCTTTTTTNTGGATCGAAACCATCCTCTGCTAGCTTTTTTTTTTTTTTTTTTTTTTTCCTTCCTTTTTCTCCCGTCCCCCGATTTAAAATCCTGCAGCTCACTTTCACAGTAAGGAAAGAAAGCAAGAAAAGTCAAGACAAATGAGCCAGTAGGGCCAATGCTCCCAGGGTCTGCAATTTAAGAAAATTAAGGAAGTGCCTTCTGTGTGTAGTGCTGGCATTATGTTCAAACGAAGTGCCTGAGGTCACAGACGTGCACTGGCACGTTTGAAAGAAGCCATCCTAAATACAATTTTAAATCTATATCACATTATTGGGCTAAGCACTCTGCATAATATTATAAAGTCTATAAATATCTTGTCCATAGAGTGAGTTTATTGAAACACGTTTTTGTGTAGATATATCTATTAAGTGTAAATATTGTTAACAGTCAAAATTTTTGTAATCCTACTGTAGTGACTTTTTAAAAATTTTTTAATATATAGAAGGCTCAAATAATAACAGCCCGGGACTTCTTTAAACCCCTGAGAAACTCCAAGAAAAGCGTTCTTTTCTTCAAACGGATAGAGACATCGTGTGAAAAGTGCTCCGATGTCACTTTATAACAATCAAAGAAAGCACCAGAAGAGCATGGGAAGGGGGAAATTGCAGGAACCCATGCAGGATGGCGAGAGGGACAGTCGTGCAGATGCTGCCCGATAGTTAGACCGCCTTCCGGGCGCGGTTACCATGACAACTGTCCAGACAGAGGTCCTATGTACCTCGAGTCTGAAAACAGTGAATGTGGGTATTAATAGGAAAGAAACAATGAGTTAGCTTGTTAGAAAATATGCCTTGATGCAGACAATATGCAATACTTATTGCATCTCTTAGGGGCCATAAACTCGTTTTTCTGCTCAGCAGTGGTAGATGAAAAGACTTTTCTTTATTCCACAGAGTCCCCATATGCCACAAGACCACCTCGTTACATGACTTGAAGGACTCGGACCCGGCCGAAAACTCATTGCGCTTTCTAAGCATTTCAGCAAAGAATGACTCTGGAGGACCACGTGGCCTAACGGATAAGGCGTCTGACTTCGGATCAGAAGATTGAGGGTTCGAATCCCTTCGTGGTTAGTTTTAGCGCTTGCGCGTTCCTATGTAGATCTGCAGCCCCAACCCCTAAAAAGGGCGAGGAGCAGCGGGCTGTCACCTATGTTTCCCCACATTCTGTTCTTTTCTTTTCTTTTCTCTGGCTCTACTTTAAAGAAGTCATTCTAGAAAGTCTTGGGAGAACCAGTGTCTGGGGTGACGCGAGGCTGAAAATCAACTGAAATAAGGTCGTTCAGTAAATTGGGGGCTCTCAAGTACACAAATTCGGATTTTGAGCACCCGAGTTTCATTTTCATAGGCTCGGCTTGTCCGGAGCCACTTGGAAAAGGGAATTCGAGTCTGTCAACCGAGCGCTCTCCGACTGCTGAGCCTCGGCGCAGTGGGGAACCTGCTGCTTTGCCAAGGCCACGACCTCTCCACATTTTGCCTCTAGTGTGAGTCCATGTGTCCTTTAAAGTTCTGGCTGCTGTGGAGCCTAGGTCACTGATTTTCACTCTTCCCCCTCCCTTTTCCATCTTCCAGTCTTCCTTTGGTTGTGTTTTCATCAAACAGATGAGAACAGCTTGCATCCCAACCTAAATTACAGAGCAGAAATATTAAGGTTGTTGAAAGAGCCCAAGTGTTTACATAGTGTATATGCAAACAGAAAGACAGAGAAGATAGCTGAGCAAAATATAAAAACACACATTTTTGTGACTAAATAACCAAATTTAATAATTTATAGAATGAAGAAAAGATAATTTCCAACTGTTGACTTCATGGTGAAATGTGGTGTTTGATTTCAGATCTAAACATTGGTTCAAATGTGGGGGCCATGAGTGCTTTTGCTGGGTGAAAGCAATGAACAATTAAAACAGGGTAGCAATGGCCAGACTGTTTCTTAGAGCTGCTGTCTGACTGGTTTCCTCTAGTCATCTGTAAAGTCCAGATTGTACAGAGAGAACAAAAAGACTTAGCTCTTTTTACTTAATGTATTCCTCTTTCCTTCCCTCTTTAGTACTTAAGGGAAAAAACAGGCCCTTTGAGTTTGAAAGAAGTGGGGGGGCAGAGGCAAAATTGCCCAGATCTACCTCCCTACTTTGGGACAAAACAAGAGATGGGCACGTTTAAAATCATCCTTTACATGTATTAAAAGGAGTGACAAATGCCCTGGGTCTATTCTGCCTGGGTGAAGTTTCAATGCCTCCCTCTGCCACCACACACACACACACACACACACACACACACACATGCACTCAGTATGACTTTAAGTGTTTATTTTACAACAATCTGTTGAATGTTTACAGCGTGCAAAGTTAGAGAAACAGGATATAAAAGGGTGGTGCATACCCTTAGAACATTATTATCAAAGAAGGTAAAGTGGAGAGGGAGTGGCAGGAGGGGTACAACTGCTCAAGCATCCATAGCATCAATAATTACCTCTGATTTTTTGTTGGAGAAGAAGCAAAATATACAAAGCATATCACCCAATCCCTGAAGACTTCACTTCGGCTTTCAATCTGGATCATCACCTCTTGAGCTTTTATTTCCAAGATTAAATGGGTTACAGTTTTTAAGCCATCTTTGAACCATATATACTGTATAAGCCATATATTGTTAGGTTGAATTTAAAAACAGATATTGCTTTAAAAATTCATGCTTCTTAGGTCTCAGCCTTCATGAGGCCTGGCTTATGACAAGTGTACTTCAGAAGAATTTTCCAGGTCTGAAAAATTGCAATCCTAACCAGAGGATTTGAACATGTTGCAAACACCTCATCACCTCAACCACTTGATCTAAAAAATCTTGGTTCCCATGAGCCTTACAAGGCAAGACTGGGTTTGTCTGCTGTCTACCTCAGCTTCCTCATCTGTAAGATAGAGACAGGTGATAGAGGGGGGAGTCTCAGAGAGATAATATCTACCGTCCCCTCAAATTTTGTTACTCTGTGCTCTGTGCCTGACCCCTTGCTATAGTTTAGTCTAAGGTGAAAACAGGTGACAGATGAGATTTTTATGGGAGCATGTGGTAAAATTAAGATGTGCATGGCAGAATATAATCAAAGAAGGGGGAAATATATAGAGGCTGGAGCACTTGGGAAAGATCTTGGATTTAAATTAATTCAACTAAAATACGAAGAGAAGAATAGTGTTTTCCTTTGCGGATTAAGGGACACTTAACCTGGGTTTTGAAAAAGGATTTTGCCAGGAGGGAGCAGAGACTCTCCTGGCAGAAGGAACGACATAAGCAAAAGCACAGCGAGTGGGCAGTTTCTGCTCCTGGGGACAGACAAAACTCGAGTTTAATGAAGGAGTTGGGAGGGCAGGGGGTGATAAGGTGTCCAGAAAGAGCTTTGGACTTGGAAACGTGCCTGAGATTTAAAAGGCAAAGAATATGAGACAAAAACTGCCAAGACAGGGGTCCTAAAATTGGCTGGGGCAGTGAGCGAAGAAAGAGAATGGTCATTGGGTCTCAGAGCCTCACTCACAGAACCTGCGCCACACGGACCCGTAGATCCCACGCAGGAGATTCTAATTGACTGAGCTCAGCGTGCAGTTCTTTCTCCTTTGCCTACAGACTCGAACATCCGGTTCACAAGGCACTAAAAACAACCCCTTAAAGGAGCT